CCATAATTACCATCTCAATAGCGTTCTTTGCTGCATATACTTATCAAGGTTATTTTTTATAAAAGATGCAAAGTTCTTATTATCAGTTCTCACTAAAAATTCTTTTGGAGATAACAAAATTTCAAACTTCTCTATACCTCTTTTTACTGTTAGAAATTCTTTTTCATTGCTATGATAAGTTTTCTCAATTGGTTTCAAGGTTCCATTTGCATAGGCACAAAGCTCTTCATTATTTGTATTCTGTCCTTTGGCTTTTAATACTGCACTCCATAAGTTATTTGAAGCATCTGTTTCTAATCCTCTTCATTAGGCATCTTTAATTTTGGTAGATTTTTAATCTTGTTTTAATTTCTTTTATCAAGTTTGTATCATCACCAAACCACTTCCACTCTTTGTCTTTCTTTAATTTCTCTTGCAATGAACTCCTCAAATTTGCTAGATTTTATTTATATATTTTTCTTCATAAGTTAGGCATCCTAGCGTTCTCTGTAGCTGCTTTTTATCTTCTATTCTATTTGGGAATTGATGAATCTTTTCTAATATATGAAGCTAGAGTTCTACTTTTCCTTGTTCTATGGTTAAGCCTAAGAATTCTATTTTGGACTTTTCTAACTCCATTTTCTTTTTTGATAGAAGTATTCCATGATCTTTGAGCTTTTCTACTACCATCATTAAATGCTTTCTATGATCATTCTTGGATTTACTAAATACTGATATATCATTTATGTAAACCACACAAAAGTCTCTATATTCTCTAAAGATATTGTCCATCTTTCTTTGGAATATTTGTGAGGCATTGCATAACCCAAATGGCATTACTTTCCACTTATAATGTCCTTGGGGTGCACTAAAGGCTGTTAAAGGAATTGATGCTTCTGCCATATTTATTTGCCAATATCCTGACTTACAATCAAACTTGCTAAATATATTAGCTCCTTGAATATTATTCAAAAGTACTTCTTTGTTGGGTAAAAAATACCCATCAAACTTAGTAGCTTGGTTTAAGCCTTTATAACTTATTACCATCCTAGCTTTTCCTCTTTTTATTTCTGCATGATTTCTAATCAAAAAGGTGGGTGAACTATGGAGCGAAGTAGAACGTTATGTTAAGCCTTTCTTTAAAAGTTAAGCCTTTCTTTAAAAGTTCATCTATTTGTTGCTTGAATTCCTTAGCATCATCTTGTCAATATGTTATTGGTTTCATCCTAATAATCTTTTTTGGATATACTAATTCTATTTTTGCCACTGTTTTATCTTTGTCCCATAGCTTTGAAGGATCTTCATTGAAGTTTTCTTTAATGCTTCCTAATATTTCTTTTAGACTTGGCATTCTATCTCAACTAGCTTGAAGGTTTTGTTGTGCATAATGGTAATTAATTTTTGCTATCCAACTTACATCCTCTTCTTCCTTATCATTAACTATACTTGTATCACCACAATTTATAGGTGCATACTCTAACATGTTCTTCATGGATGAAGGCATTATATTTTTTGGGTGGTCTGATAATTTTTGTGGTTGAAAGCCTAAAGTACATTTCTGTTTGGCTTCTCTTAATAACTTTATACTAACAGGTGGTGTTCCTAACCGGATATAATTTGCGTGTTGAACAAATGGAAGGCACATCCTTTGTTTCAAAAAATTATTTCCTAATACCATATCTCCATCTAATTCTGGCAATTGCCATATTAGTTCTATGACAAATACTTGTTCTTCTAAGTATACTAGAACATTTGTAGCTAAATAATTAAGTTCTACCATCTATCCATTTGTTGTTACTAGCCTTTTTGTAGGAACTTTAACCCAATGATCTTCTAGAAGAACATTTGGTTTAGCTAATGTATAGGCAGCTCTTGTATCTACTAACACATCTATAGTATATGGGTGATATCATTAGGTTCAAACTTAAGTTTTATGCATGAACTATTCTTAGAAGTCTTGATTGAATTTATGGGTTTTTTCATCCTTTTTGTTTCTTCACCATGGCATTCGTAAATGGATTTTACTTGTGCTTGTTTTTGCTCTCTTAAATGCTACTCCACCAACTAGGCTTGATATTGAAGATTTCTTTTTCTTAACCATTATGGCACCCAATCATATTCTTGTACCGTAGATGTCCCTTTTCTTATAGGTAGCTTAACTTTCTTATATCCTAGTATTTTATTATTCTTTCTCTCTTCTTCTGGGTCTATTATTATCACTTGTCCATCTTTTGTAGTAGCTAATTCTAGTTCTCTATTTGGTCTTGAAGTTAAGGCTCTAGGTTTGTCTTCTAATAATCATTTGGTTGGAATAGTGAGACCTTTCTATGCTAACATTCTAGGTACAAGTCTTTGTGCATGAGGCATCTTACTTTCCCATAGAATGGCATCAATAGGCTCTCTTCTAAACTTTGGATTTGTAGTGTTAACTAGTCCATACATTATTCTATAATGTAGTAATAAGTCATGGCTACCTTTTAGCATATTAATATTTTTGGTTTGGATTTTTATAGTTAGACTCTTATGTAGGTTTCTATCTCCTAAACTTACATGATAGTCTGGATAAACATCAAACATGATAGGTCCATTATATAAATGAGAATGTATGCCTCCTATTAATGCATCTTTTATGTTCATATGTCTATAGTCTAATACGCATGCCAATATTAATGTATCAATTCCTCTTCTAAACAAAGGACATACCCCTATTTGGATTAATCTTATATGGGCAAAGTTGTACTTATTTCTATACTTCTCTATCTTTTAGGATCTAATAATGGAATCATTATAGTTCCTTCTTTAATTTGTTCTACTCTTGTTACTCCCTCAAAACTATCTATATTGAGTCTCCACTTACTTCTTTTGTATACCTCTTTTTGTCTTTTTTACGTAACTTCCATGCAATAGCTTCTCCATCAATTTCTTCTTCAATTTCCATGCTTTCATGAGATTCATATAGGGTTCCTAATGAGGTAGTTTCTGAAGTCGACCCTATAAAGGTTGTTGATGTCAATGCTTCTTTCATCATTCCTATGACTTCCTCTTCGGACTCATCTTCAAACTCATTACTAGATTCATTCCATTCATAAATACTTCCATTATCTAATATTTCACTTCCTAATTCACTTCCAGATATTATTTCTACTTCTGAATCCAACTCTTCAAATGCTCTTATTATCTTTATACTCTTTTTTGGATTCTTCTTTAGGCAGTCAGGTGCTATATGTCCTTTTTCCTTGCATAACCAACATGTGCATTCTAACTTTGATTTTCCTAATAGGCATGGTGGACTCTTTTTATAATTCTTAAAATTTTTAAATTTTATCTTCTTAAAGAGTTTCCCTTTTTTAAAATTCCTTTTATTTCTTTTAAATTTATCTACTTTTTAAAAATATTTGTAAATTTTTTTTTTCTTCTTTTTAGTTTCACAACCATACTATCTAGGCATGTCTATTAGATATTTGCAACTATTCTTATCCATACTATCCTCTAGTCTCTTCTTAGAATCTCTTGTTGCTAAGGTGTTTGTGCAATATTCACAAAGTATCTTTTTAACAAATTGTGCTCTTAACCCTAGTGTGTCTACTTTCTCATCATCCTCTTTTAAATATTTTTCATATCTCTCCATTATCAATTTGTTCCATGGGTCTAGTAACTTTTGAAAGAACTGATCTATCCAGATGGGTTTTTTCGAATTTTTTAAATTACAATAATACTTTTGAAATTTACAATAATATTCATCAAACCTACCCATCTTACATATTCTTAGCTTTGTTAATTTTTCTCTTACACTTTTTTCAAATAATCCTTTCGTATCTTGTTCTCCACAAAACTCTTTCTTTAACTTTCTAGCCATCTAGTAAGCTAATCTTTTCTCTCGTCGTAACATCAAAGTTTGGTGTATCTTTATATCTTTCCCAGAAATTCTTAGCGTTTCCTCTAAGTGTTGCTTCTAAATATCCTTTAGTGAATGCCCAATCCCAAGCAACATTTCCTTTGACTACTAGGTCACTAGCTTGTGCCCAATCTTCTATTTCTTTCTTTGGATCAATGGCACAGTCTATATTTAAGTATACAACTGTAGTTGAAATTGCTTGCATTTTTCTATCTAATCTAGGTCGGAATTCATGTGTAACAGGACTCCTATATTTTCCTTCCCCTACTGTTCCTTCCATTTTTCCAGGTTTTGTTTCTCTCATAAAGGTAAAATTTTGATCATTTCCTACTAATATTTCTTCTACAAACTTAGGAGGTAGGGGTACTTTCCCAAACTTTTCTTTTTCTTTCTTTAAATAGTCCTTATATGCTTCGACATATTGATTCATTACTTCTTCATCATTTAGTTCCCCTTTTTCTTCTTTTTTTACTCGAAAGTCCATCTCCTTCGGAATGGCTTCCTTCTTCCTTTTTTGTCATTTTTATGTTTTCCATAGAAAATTCTAACTCCTGTAATTTATGTTCCCAATATACCATTTCTTCAACATTTTCAGCCTTATCCCAATTCTCAAGGATTTCTTCCTTAGTCATACTTTCTCCTATTGGTTTTAGATGCTCATGGGGATTTAATTTAAACTTTCCCCAGTTAAACATCCATATCTCATGTTTTTTATCTGCTTGGACTTCTTTCTCTGTCATATTTTTAAGATTTTCTTCTAAAGATCATAGTAATATCTTACTTTCTTCATTTAAATCTAATTTTCCAAATTCAAAAAACACGTCTAATAATTTCTTTATTTTTTTCTACATTCATAGATACATGATATAATAAATCTATGACAAAGTTTAATACTCCTTCTATTTCCTTAGAACTGCTCTAATTGCTATGCTTAAATTTTTTAGATTCAGGATCTAACTGACAGTAATTAATATTCATATCCCAAAGTGTCATTTTGGAATTTTGTACTTTAAGGACTCAATTGCAAATATACCTTTTTATGTTTAATGATATTTTAATGGTGGTGTTATTTCCTTTAAGCTTTTGAAGTTGAGGGGCCAAAAATGTCAATGTATAAGGTGAGGGATTAAAACATTCAGACTTATTGAGGTAAAGGACTAATAGTAGCCTTTGGCCAACATAAAACTTAGCAAAATCCTTTTGATTAACGAAGTGCTCCTCATTCCACCTGTCACGCCCCATAACCCAAATCCGGGGACGTGGCAGACGCCGTGCACTCGTAAGACGGGTCCCACAAATGCACAAGGCTCCAAACTTATCATATCACAATCTGATACCACCAAAATCTCAAGATCAAATTATAAAATTCTCTCTGATATCATGAAATCTCCAAATACAAGATCATGATTTATTTCTAAAATTTATATCCAATTACAATATGGCTAGCCTTCTAACTCGTCACTTCTCGTGATTTCCCGTCCTCGGTTTCACTTCCTGAAATGGTGGACAAGGAAAAACTATGAGATAAACTCAGTAAGTAAATATGGA